GAGAGAGAGAGAGAGAGAGAGAGAGAGAGAGAGAGAGAGAGAGAGAGAGAGAGAGAGAGAGAGAGAGTGTGATCGAGAGAGAGAGAGAGAGAGAGAGAGCGAGAGAGCGAAAGAGAAAGAATGAGAGACAACGAGGGAGAGCGAACGCGGCGATGGGAGGGTGCTCTTGATTCGTTTGCCCCTGAGTTTAGCATCAGAACACCTGCCGTCAGGTGAGCGCTGTCGCTCTGCGGCACTTGTTACATTATATTGGACAACCAAAAGTGTGCTCAATATTTAATATTGGGTTAAGGCAGAATAATGACCATCTCAAACATGATTTTCACAGTCCTAGAGCAGTAGAGAGGTGAACACGTTTGTATACAAGAGTGGTTCCTTTGTCGAATCTGGATACCCTATACTTGTGAATAGCTAATTACTATTACCATTGATATATTTGAAGAGATTCGTTACACCGAACACGGAGTAACTGCCAACATCAGTAAACACTGGTAAAAATGAAATTAAACCTAAAAACTATAGTCTGATTGTGCATGGGTCTTATTCTTCGTTCGCCTGTAATGAGAGGCCTGCCTGCACACACTGGTGCAATAATTCTGTGTAAACACACTGCTTTCCTCTGTCATTACAGTGCCTAGTCAGGTGATCTTGTCGAAGACCCTAAACAAGAATGTTATGTCTGTTATGACCAAGGTTGCCATGCAGATCAACTGCAAGCTTGGTGGTTCTGTCTGGAGTGTTCCCATTCCAGTAAGTACACTGTTTAAAAAGTGCATTTAGTTTTTGTTTGGATAATCTACTGCAGCATAGTGTGAACACATAAACTTATCATTTTGATCATGTGATATAACTGAGTGAGTGTTAACGGAATATTTATGGAATATGGAAAGAAAAACTGAACAGTTAAAACTTCTGTTGTGAAATTTATGAACAGTTATGAACTTTCTATGAAAGGGCTTTAAACACGCAGAAAAAGCAAGTAAAAAGTCCTTAAATAGATTAGTCCTTAAGTAAATTAGATTTTAAAGACTCTCCTTTTTTTCCATTTTTGCACGTGTCACTAGTCATGTTTTCATGTCGGTGGCATGCTACCTGTCTACGTTGGTGCTTAGTATACTCTAACGTGTGCTGTGCAATGTCACACGTGCTGTTCTCTCAACTTGCAGCTGAAGTCTGTGATGTTTATTGGCATCGACACCTACCACGACTCCAGCGAGAAGAATCGCTCGGTTGGCGCGTTTGTCGCCTCGCTGACGCACGACTGCACGCGCTACACGTGGAGTGTCATGTTCCAGCACAGTCACCAGGAGCTCGTCGACGGCCTACAGACGAGCATCACAGGTGTGTCAAGCTCGTGCCGAGTACGTGCAGAGGCAGGGGTAGAAATTAACATTTGAACAAGCGAGTCCAACGGGACTTCCTACCCTCAAAAAGAGGGAGTCTGCAGCAAAATGAGGGAGTTCGCAGTCTGAAGTTCAAAACTAAAGATATGAATAAAACGGACATTTGCGGTGCACGTCTGCCAAATTTTCTTGGGACATTTGCTAAAAAAAATACGGTAATTTTGCGAGGCCATGCTCTGGACCGAACTAGTTAGTACAGCAAAATTTTCAGGGAGTCACACGGACTCCTGCATATGTCAAACCAGGGAGTCCGACAGGAAGTCAGGGAGTATTTGACTCCGGACTCTGCAGAGGCATGGAGGTTAGCCCCACACGCATAGCAGGCAAACCGCACGTTTTCACAACCGAGTTCCGCATTCCGAACACGTGCAAACGAAATGGTGGAAATGCGTGATTGTCCGCGCGTCGTATACTCGTGCGTAGTGGAAAATTCAATAATAGTCTTGAGGCCGTCCTGCACTTGCCAACTGCTCTCACGTTTTTGCCGACAGCCGCACTCAGGGCTTATAACAACTTCAACGGGGGCCTGCCGGACCGTATCATGGTCTACCGAGACGGCGTGGGCGAAGGGCAGCTGCCCGCCGTGCGAGAACACGAGGTCAAGCAGTTCATGAGATGCTTCAAGCAGTTTGGCGACGACTACGAGTAAGTGGACTCGTGATTTCAACACTTGGCGTGGGAAACTTATACACCATATTTTTTGTGTACAGATATTTTCGCGAATTCAGACGTGATGGACAATTTCGCGAGTGGTTAATTTCGCGGTCGGTGAATTATGAATTATTCGGTATGAATTATTTGTGTGTTGTTATTTTCGCGGTCGGGGACGCGTTCGCTAAATTCACGAAATTTAAACCACCACGAAATATACAGCGTATACACTATTACAGTATTTGCTTTGTGTATGCGATTCGTTCAGTCCATGAGTAAGTGGTGCGTGTGAATGTGATACGTTCAGTGACAGTTTTGATTGTGGTGCCAGTTATGCATTTGATTGTTTTCATTTGACAGTTGCCTAATAGTTTTCAAAGCCTTACGTGCGTTGCGTAGCGTGGTGTTTGGATGCGCAACACTATTTCCAGTAAGTTCTCAATTTGCGTTACTTTCTTTCAGCCCAAAGTTCACATTCACTGTTGTCACTAAGCGTGTGAATGCACGTTTCATGAAGAAGGATCAGCGTAGGGGTACCATGGAAAACCCCGTGCCAGGAACTGTCGTTGACACTGTAGTCACTAACATCAACAGGTAGGTTTTCCCTGGTACTTTCTGTGACAACGATGCATTATGATGGGCCTAGATGGTAATGTTGTATGCAGTTATTGTTGCGCAATAGAAGACTAGGGCTGAAGTAGACAAGATTGGCTTAATTATTCCATGCCCTGATTAATATCATTGTGTCTGTTCACTGTTCATGCCATATCAGTGTAAACTTGAACTTTGGATGAGGTTTCTTCAAATGTGTCCGTTATATTCAGGTGTCTATTATAGACAAGTGTCTGTTGCAATGTGGTAGTTTCACTTTTGGATTGTTTATAGACGAGTATTTGTTTTCTAGAACCGTCTGTCAAGGCAGGTCTATCTGTAATTTAATTTTCAATGTGTTCTTCACTGGGGTTTCTTGTAACCGTGTCTGATTTATTGTCAGGGCTGAGCGAGGATGCAAGGAGTAATTTTCAGCTGATGAGAGACGTAGCTGAGACAACGCGGGTAAGGCCTGATGCGCGAGCTCAGAGGCTAGAAGCTTTTCTCACACAAATCAACAGGTCAGTATGTTGCACGGTCCGTACTCGGTAGTTAATCTTGGTGACAAGTTGTCTTCAGGTTTCTCATTAAGCAGTGGCTACTTCTAATATTTCTACAATTGTATTCTTTGTCACCCCGAGGTCCCTAGACCACCAACTTTCTAGGTCATCGATTTCTTTGTCTTGACTGTAACGTCGTTTTTCCACCTGTGCATGCTCGTGATTTTCTCGGAGCAGTCACCCAGAAGTGACCACTATGATGCAGCAGTGGGGGCTGAGTTTTAGCGAAAGGTTACAGCCCATCACATCCCGTGTACTGGTCGCAGAGACTGTGCAGATGGTAAGTGACAGATGAGTGACAACAACTGGGTATCTCCATTTTTAGCTTTCTTTTTTAATTCTGGGGAAGAAATGGAAGACTCCAGTAATATTGTGGGTATTGTGATATAAAGTAGCTTTTGCATTTGCACGTTTTTGGTCCGAAACTGATGGATATGCTGATACTTTCAACGCTGATCGCCGTTGAAGGAAATTTGTGTCAATGTGCCATTGATCTTTAGAATTAAATGACAAACTATTTAAACAAATTAGTTTCACAAAATTGTTCACAACATATATTATCTCATGAAATTGAAAACCTTTGCTTTTTGTGTATATGTTCAGGTAATGTTCAAATTATTCAAACTTACTCGCAGTGATTAAATACTAATAATGATCAGCAAGAATCTGACTTATTCTGAACAGTTTCTCTTGTTTTTATTTTAGCGTCGTGGAAATGGGAATGAGGTATGTATCAACATTATTTATATCCTACGTTATTAGTAATAATATTGAGGCGGGTAATGCTCCTGCTACTACGTCGCCCAGCCAGTATACTTCAATTACAGTCTTACTCGTCTACACTTACTCGTCCCAATCTGCATGCATTTTTTATTTAGATAACCTAGTCTCGTTAACCATGTTGACCTTAACCATATAATAAGTTGACTGATGCAGTGGAAGTAAAGTTTGTTTGCCTTTAGTTGGTGAATCTGAAGTACCAGGCGGAGGTCGCGGACTGGGGGGGCGACCTGAAGGACAAGAAGATGGTCGGCAGTATCGCACTGCGCAGGTACTCGCTAAATTGTTGTCACTAAGTATTACTACTAGTATCACACCTTGTTCGAAGGCTCAAATTTCACTTTGCTGGTTTTCCTCATGGTCAACGTGTGCTTCGTGTTTTGGGCGGGCACTAACGGCCTGCTATTCTGTTTCTAGCTGGGTTATGGTCGCCACGAAGAGGGACAGTGAGAAGGCGCAAAACGCAGTTCAGATGCTGAGGAGGGTAGGAGGCCCACTCGGCATGGCAGTGGAGCAACCAAGGATGTGAGTGCAGTAGTCTTATAGCAGTGATATTCGTCTATAAATATTATCTATCGTCTGGGTGTGCACAAAGGCATGCGCAGCAGCCGTCTAAAACATTAATTACAAATTGACTGTCGTAGGTGTGAGTAACGTCTTGATATGAAATATTACGCATTAGTATATAAAGTAGTATAAACAAACCCTGATGCTATGCTGAAACTGACCCTAAGTCTATTGTAATAGTAAACAATTTTTTTTGCCGTTATGCTATATGCATTGCATTCGCATCTCTTTAAGTCTATTTATCATAAAAAATCACTCCAAAACTAAATATCTTCAAGTCATCCGAACATTCTGTTTCAGGGTATATTTGGCAGATGACCGTACGAACACATTCCTGCAAGCCATCCGCCAGGAATTGCGCCCTGATCTCCAGCTTGTCATGGCACTCTGCCCAAATGATCGCAAGGACAGATATGATGCCATAAAGAAGTTGCTGTGCATAGACAATGCTGGTAAGTCAGCAATGCTGTAACTGGTCCCATGGTTTTCTAACAGGGGTATTAAATAACAAGTGTACAACGTATGTCACCGGCTGTGTGAGGCGAGGTAAGCAGTGGTGCTGGTCGTAAATATTAAATGGCCAATAGCTGGTTTTAAAAAGTTTTTATATATTTTTAGCTCATCTGACATAGTCAGATGCAGCTTGTAGAATCGCATGATCGTCCGTCCGTCCGTCCGAGCGTCCGAGCGTCCGAGCGTCCGAGCGTCCGA